ACGTTTTATTTCTTTCATAAATTCTCGCGTCTTGGTCTGACCACACCAGCTCACAGAGACCATGAGGACAAACACATACACTCTGCTGGTGTGAGAAGAGCTGCTCTCACTCGCTGCAGTTTTGGTGTGTACGGGCCTTGAACATTCATTGTATTCATTGAACATTAGATTTTTACCGAGGATCTGAGCACCTGGTTGAGTTGTTTACAGCGACAAAAGTGACGCATGCGCCTTCTCCTCGTAAAACTTATAGGTAATGTAGTCTCTTATCTTGGTGAGACGAAGTAGCAAGTGTGCATTGTGAAGGGCGCTCTGAAAAGCAGCAGAGCAGCTAAAGAATTAAAACAGATGTACAAATGGAGAGGTGGCAGTAAAGAGCAATTTTTGGAAGTACCATGTACCAGCCTACTTAAAGCACTGACAGAAGTTCTTTTTGAGTGTTTCTAAAGTTTGGTCCCCCAGCTTTAATATAAAGGGTTTCACTTTGAATTAGGCACGGTCATCCTTCACTCTCACCGCCCCTCAGCTCTTTTAGATGACTGTGGTTTGGGCTGAAGCAGCACCAGTCCAGTCTATACCACACACTGAGTTTCCTGTCCCCCTCTGGTCTCCCCCCTCTCCCCCTTGCGTGTCCCAGGACCCCAGAGGAAGTCCCCCTTTCCTGAGCCATCCGTCGTGGCGGCCGCAGGTTTGAGTTATGGTCAGGACGGTGTTTTCACAGCAGCGAACGCTCACACATGTGTCCCACTGTCTGTGCACTGATCCCAAAGCTCTATTCTCTGTCTCCCTTGAGCTGTTTCCAGCTCTACCATAAAGCTGGATATTTGTATCTGGAAAATGGAAAGATCACTAATTAAACATATTGTCAGCCGTACGTCTCTTGCAGATCCATCAAGTGGTGGAAGTATGGCCTTAAACGAGACGGACACTCACAAAAGGCAGCCTCGAGGATTCTTCATAGCTTATTGTGGAAGTCCGGGGTGTACATTTAGCTGGGGTACCAAACTTTCAAAACCACAAAAAAATTTAATCTACACGTAGAGCTTGGTTCTATCACATAGAAGTTCCAGATGAAGCTAAAAACAATAAATCCTGAAGTTTGGCTGAAATGTGAACGAAAGTAGAGTTAGAAATATTAAAGAACTGTGCCCATGTATTTGGTATCACCTACACGCCCATCTCTCTCCAGTCTCTCTGAGCTCTCTGGTCTCTCTCTCTGGCCTCTCTCTGCTCCTCTCTCGTCACTCAGGTGGAATGAACGGATTGGAAAAAGACCAGGAAGTAAAGCTTATCATATCCTCCAATTAGCCGCTCTACTTTGGACAGAGGACGTGACCGTGACTGGACAGCGGTGGCATTCCAGTGCAGGAGGATTACACACACACACACACACACACACACACGTTTTTGTTACCTGGTGGGTCCCTTTGACAGGGCCGTTCAGAATGGGACCCATAGACATATTCTTTTTTTACTGGGACCACTTTAAGTAATACAAAACAGTCAATAGAAAACAAACAACTCTTTTAAAGGAATTTTATTTTAGATTTTTTTTTCGAATTGCAGTGATTCTATTTTTGACATAGAATTTAATGCCACTCCATGTCCGATGTCTAAGGTCATCTGGTGAGGCATTAATGCAGGCCAGGCAGTGAGACTTCCCAGGGACTTTTCCAGTCTGTATCTGAGCTCTGAGCCTCATCTCAGACTCGTCAGGGAGGACTTCAGGAATGTCCCTCAGAGTCGAACGGTTTATGATGTTGGCGTCATGGTCTTCTCCACAGCCTTCACCTCAGATGCAGACCATGGCTTTCTTACACGTTCTAGGGAGAGAAATAAAAATATATTAGCAATATACACTCCCAGGGTTAGGACCAAGCAGCCTGGCTGTAATCCCCCACCTGGTACACTTACCAGAAGGGGCACTGCCACTACCATGGGGTGCATCTGGATGAATGGTTGAAGGTTCTCCGCTTGAAGTTTCTTTTAGCCCGTCCGTTTGTGAGAGGATCTCTACTGCTCTCCCTGTTGCACAGAAAATAAAAATACAAGTGGCCTTTAGGGGAAAAAAATCATACATATTTTAATAATATCAAGAATTACCTTCAGGCTCAATTTGTATCTGGTCGAGGCTCTTTCCTTCGAATTCCGGCACTCTTCCCTGCTCCATGGCCATCAACACTTTGCTGATTTTGGCCAGCTCCAGTGTCCCCTCTGGTCGTCTGTAATATTGTCTGTGGATGCGAATGTCATGGCCGAGGAAGTTGGCTAGTCCATTTCATTCTCTTTCATATTGAGAACTGTAGACATAGTAGTTATGTGCTTTCTAAGTTTGGTTGAGGATAGCATCTCTGGATGCACCGCACCACATTCTTTGGCTACCTGCCGTAGGGAGTCTGATCCCCTGATGTGGGTGTCTGCGCCCGGGCGGGAGAAGAAGTATGGGTTATGGTCAGAGATGGAACAGGCCCTTCTGTTCTCCACCAGCACCTCCATCGAAGCAATCATTTCAGGAGTCAAAAGAACCGGCACTTTCCGACTTCTTTTCCCTTTAATTTCAATGCGTTGAAAATGCTGACACAGCTTTTTCTCAAGTTCGGACAGTCCCAGAGCAATGTCAGAATGGATCCCAGTCTTACTTCTTAAGGTAAACGCTGTCAGTGGCATCTTTGAAACCTCACCTTCCCTTCTTCGATTGAAAATAATGACCTCACAAAGAGTCAAAACTGCCAGTTTAGACCAATGCTTAGTCGTTGGCTCACTTATTAGGGTTTGCACATATTCAGGTCGACATACCTCAATATGTGCATGCATGGCTCTAACGTCCTCAGTCAGAGGGAGCAGGTCCGGAGTGTTCCACTTGGCTTGCCGGAGGGTCTGTAGGGCAGCAGAAGAAACACAGACGTCCCACCTCTTCTCAAAAAGCAGCCGGCTTCGTTGGAGGTTTTTAATAAATAGTTCATCAACACAATGCTCCATTTTTGAGTCACATTCAAGAATATCTGCTAGCTTTCTGAGGCTATGGCCGAGTTTGAGGGCCAAGGATGGAGTCTTGTATTGATTTGTTTCCTCATCATATCCAGCCACAGACCTGACTGCATCAATCACATGGTTAAAGTTGGAAGGAATAAAGAAATCCTTAATTGTTTTCAGTTTCCCTGCGGTTTTTGCTTCGTTAATTAACCTACCGACTTCTCTCATTTTCTGCCTAATGTAATCATGCTTAGTCTTATCATGCCCGTGTTTTAAGTACAGGTGCTCTCAGAGTCTCAGAATCCCCTTTTCTGCTTTGACAACACCCGTGACCTCATCCTGATGCATTGCCGAAATTAAAGACCACAGCTTTTTGCTGATGCCCTCCGGTACAGGCTGGGCTAGGGAGCAGAGGGACTGGACCCTACTTCTACCTGGTTTAGCCTGGGCATCTTTCTGTGAAAGCCGGCACCTGGCCACATGCCTCCACAGCGACTTTCGCTTAAGCAATGCCCCACAGTCTATACAGTGCAAAAACTCACTGGATTTAACTGGGAAATTTGGCTGTTTAGCTGGGACTAAAGTTCCAATGCCGGCCTTTAAAACCTCAAAATTGTGCTCACGGTTTCCACTATTCCTGATCAAATCAAACTGAAGTTTACGTGCTTTAGATTTCACAGGTAGAGCCAATGCTCTGGCTACGTCACTTTCATTTCCATGTTTTCTAGTCAAATGACGGGACATTTTGTGGCAGGACATTGAACAGTAGAGGCAGAAGTGTCTCTTGCTGTAAACTCGCCCCCCATTTTTCTTCTTTTGCAGCTGCATGATAACAATCTTATTTGCCTTTGGTTCGTCACTTTCCGAGTCTTGAAGAAAAGTGTTTTTGATTTTTCTTTTTCCATACTTTTTTACAGGTTTCTTCTTGACAGTTAAATCGTCAGAATCTGAGTCGACTTCATCAATTAGGGACTCTTGACTAAGCTGCACAAACAACAAATAATTTGTAATAATTCTATATAACAATTTGAAGTCATGACTTGTAGTCAGCACTTACCAGTGGTTTGTAAGCGTGCGCTTCAGTGTGCTCCTCCATGATTTCTTGCAGCCTAATGAACCACACACTTGCACCTTTTCTAGCCTGACACCTGATTTCCTCTGTTGTGCTGCTCCATGATTGGCTCCAGCCTGCTGGACTGAAATTGCCCCAGTGGGCCCCTCCTTGATATTCCGCAACCCACCACCAGGGTTCCGACACATAACACACTTTTTTCAGGAAAGTAAACCTCCAGGGGTCCTTTCCATATTTTTACAGAGACTGCATAAGGACCGTTAGAAAAGCATTACCCATTGATTATTAAGCTTGGACCAGTGGGGTCCGGTGTTCGGGCCCCACCACGTAAAACCAGTCCCCATGACGTGAGTGGAATCTCAGGTTATGGAACCCACCAGGAGTTGAAAACAAGTGCACACACACACACACACAAACACACACACGCTCACACACACACACACGCACACGTACCACACACACACACACACACGCACACTTATCAGACTGTAAGCACTGGTTCAATATCCTTGTTCCTTCAGCTAATCAGTGATGATCCGGAACCTTTAAAGATATTTCTTCTACTCTCACATGTCATGTGGTGTACAAGTTCATGTCAATGTTATTTGGCAGCACATTTACATTTTCATGTATACTGAGGCCTCTGACCCTAAACTCCAACAGGCTCCATGGGTAGGAATCTGGTGCTAGATTTTGAAGGTAGCCATGGTCGCAACCAAAGAGCCAATCAGAAGCGCCACTGGTCTTTTCCCGGTTGTGTTATTCGCTGCTCATAGAATGTGGGGAGGACAACAGTTATTAGGTGTCAGATCAGGATCATACAGGGCATTTAACCACTCAGAGTTACTGAGTTTTAATGGAGGTGAATGGAGCAAAACTTTACCAGTAGCACTTCTCTACTAGGCTTCATAGAGCTAGCAGGTTAGCATTTTGCATCTATATACTTCTGTTGCTCTCAGCACATCTGGCGTGGTGTCCCAGAGCAGGGAGGAGCCACAGTGGGGATGAAGGGGAGCTGGAGAGGGTGAGGGGGTGAGGTCTCGTACCAGCCCCTGTCCATCCCAGTCAGATTTATTCCAAGCCGGTGTCAGAAGTAAATGTGGCACGGGAGTGGTTGGGGGGCGCCTGTGTTGTCTCAGTCTTATCTGAGCTCTGAGCCTCATCTCAGACTCGTCAGGGAGGACTTCAGGAATGTCCCTCAGAGTCGAACGGTTTATGATGTTGTGCAACTTTCATCCATTTGGACTTTACCTTAAAGAAAATGTGTACGTTGTGTTTTCACATCATGTTACAGTAGCATGCTCTCTTCTACAACACTCTTTTACAACACAAACATAAATTCCCCATTGGTCTCAAACATGTTACAAAAGCCCTATTTCCATCAGGTCGGTGCATGTATCAGGCCGCTGATACATGCAGACCCCACTCTACAATATAATGTGTTTTTATATTTGTACTGTTTTCTATTGTTGGGTGTTTTTTAACTACATAATACCAATAGACTGAATAAGTCTTGAATCTGGATTTGAATCAAAGGGAGATTTTCACACGTTTATCAATAGAAGAAAATTATCATTTGTAATTTTCCACAGAACAAATGTGAGATAAGTCCACAGACGTCATCATTGTCTCTGAAACACTCAGAATCAGACCCTTACATCATGCTTTGTACGTTTTGTGCATTCAGCCTTTCTTGTTGCAGCCTCATTCCTTTTGTTATTTTTCTCTCCTCTTCGACAAGCTCTCCTCACCCCTCCTCTCCCCCTCTCTCACTGCCCAAGGCTCCATCCCTCACCTGGGGTTCCACCGAGCAGCGTCGGCACAAACCACCAGGGCCCACAGGCTCCACTCACACGAGGCCCGAGCCAGGGCAGCTGAGGCGGGGAGGGCGAGCTGAGTCCCGGCCCCCACCACCTCACCCCCCAACCCTCCCGGCTTTTTGAAGGGGGAAGACTCGGGGAAAATCGATAGTCAAGGAGCGAGAGGCCTGTGATGGGATGGCTAATCGGGCTTAGGCATTAATCTTTCAGAACACTGGGAGAAGTCCAGTGGAATCAGGGCCTTGGAGAAGAGAAAAAGCAATGAAATAAAATCTGAAATTGAGAAAAGACTGGGAAGCGATGACTATGGGCTGTTGTTCTCTTCACATCTGCACCGCGGCAGAGAGAGAGTGAAGGAGAAGGGGATTATAGAGACAAGAGGGACAGAAGGAGAAAGACACATATACTTGTTTGTAAAGTTTTAAGGGAAAAATTGTTTTAAAGCTGTTTCATTGTTAACATTTTATTGTTTACTTTTTTATGGATCTGTTTTGACAGTTTTGACAGACTATTAATATTTTAGTGATGGGCCTCCGCAGATGTCTGGTTTCACATGATGGCATTAAACCTTGTATCAATGGAGACATAGTTGGGACTGATAATAGTATTCATTCAGTCATATAGTGCAATTAATACATATATCATTAAGAATGTATTATGATTAAAAAACGGGTCACTGCGCTGAAAAAATATGCATTGGTCATATTTTAGCGTGCTTGTGCTCCACATCTCAAAGCGCTACTGCGGAAAGCAGAGAGATGAGCCTTTCTGCGTCAAAAGAGGCTGCGCTGTGCTGGGGACGTAAGGTACAGCAGGCTGAGAGAAAACAATCATTACCACTGTAACAAAATTAGTGGAATGAAAACATTAACAAAAGAGTGGTCTTCATTTGACAATTCAAGTTATTTATACAATGTTCAGTACACTGTTACAAACCAATAACAAAAGCAGAGATTGAGAAGCATATTTTAGACAATTTGAATACTTTCTTTTTTGAGGGGGTTGAATTACTATAAGCTTTTTGCTGCATCCAATCCATTTTCAAACCAAATCAAGGGACATTAAGAACAGGAAAACTATGACATTAATGCGTTTAATAGTGATTAAACATTCTAATTGTTCGACTGCACTAAATATAATAAAAGAAGGCGAATGAACAGACCTCAGTATCCTACATGAGCTTCAAACAGAACTTGACTCTTTTATACAGAGTTAAAAGTGACCAGTGGCCTACTCTACTCTACGAGCTGGTTGTTTACCTTGTTTTTGTATGTTAGTCCTGTTCTCTGGTCAGCTCTCTGTCTCCACTTACTTCTGAAGTTTCTGCTTGGAATTAAATAGTTTTTTCAGTCTCTGCTTTTGCCTCCAACTGACTCATCGTAAGAAGCTCAGCAAATTTAAAAACATTTGATTTGTATTTCAGTAATTTAGTATTTAAATACAATAGACAAACTTACATACTATTACTATGTCAGTGTTTGTGGCCTCCCTTGCCACACACACACACACACACACACACAGGAGTGTGCTGCTGTTACACTGCAGCTGCAGTGCTGTTGCTCACAAACAAACACTCAGTGTTGTGTGAAACCGGATCATTGAAGCAGCTCTCTCCAGGACACAGAAGCAGAGGAGACTTCTGTGATGGAGATTAGAGGAAGTGCATGGGATCCTTCTGTTATCGGTCGGAGGGATTACAATGGAGATGGACATACAGTGTATGATAAATATTATTCATGATTAATAATAATAATAATAATAAATCGGTTTTATATAGCGCTTCACAGTTCAGGACACACACATGCACATTCAGACTAGGGATGTACCGAATCCAGGTTTTTGGGGTTCGGCCGAATACCGAATCCACATGGTTAAGATTCTGCCGAATCCGAACCCGAATACCGAATCCTATTCCATCCTCAGTCCATTAATGTTTCATATGCAAATGTTTTAACAGCGGCGGTGTCGTGTACTGTTTAGGGTCCTTACCACCACGAGACAAATCGGCTTTGCAAATTGGATATGTAGCTCGACCAGAATCTATTATAATAACATTTATAATAATCCTGTTTATCATTAAACGCAAATACATTCAGTTCACAGCAGTGTAAAACTTCAGAGATAAAGTACATATATTACTGTGCATGTCATGTAAAAATAAGAGCTAAAGCACCATACATGCATAAATAGCTTCGACTGGTTCAGGTTAAAACATTACATATATGGACATTTGAGAAATGTGCCAAACTCGTAGAGACAAGTTGAGAGAAGCTAATGCTAAGAGGCTAGTTGCCTAAACACGGACTCACCAACTCTTATTCTACAGTCATACGCAGCTCAGATGACAGTACCTTGCACTGGTAATCGGCTCCATAAAGTTGGTGAATAGGCAGTTAGTTTATGATCCATCAGAACCGCATTACAGGTGAAAACAAGAATCATAACATCCACTCGCACCGGCATATGACTAGAGCTAATTGGACCGCGGCGATCACATGACCAGGAAGAGACCTCAGCGCACCCAAAGAGGAACAGAGAGCAAGAGGATATAAACCTCCGCTAAAGAGCATGTTTATTTACACTTCCGAACGAATCTGATTTCCGTGACGAATCCAACAGCCACATCGCGCATAGTGTAAGTGCAGGGCTCGGGTTCGGTGGGGAAAAATTATAAGGTTCGGCCAGAAACCGAACCCCGTCAAAAAAGCCAATATTCGGCCAAATCCGAACCCGAATCCTGGATTCGGTACATCCCTAATTCAGACAGACACAAAAAACTAAAAGTCTAAAAGCAGGAATGAAGAGTACAATGCTGAAACTAAGAGTTGTATGCTTGGAGGAAGAGGTGAGTTTTTAACAGTTTTTTAAAGGAGTTTAGTGAGTGTGAGTTTCTGAGGTGAGGGGGGAGGAGTTCCAGAGAGTGGGGCAGAGATGGCGAAAGCTTGGTCTCCCAAGGTTCGGTGCTTGGATTAGACAGTGGGAGTGGGAAAATTTGAGTCTGCAGATCAGAGTCGACGGGGGGGTTGGGGGGAGATATGGAGGAGCGAGGTTATGGAGAGCTTTGTAGGTGATGAGGAGGATTTTGAAATAGATGCGCTCTGGTGCTGGTTTGAGTGATGAGGAGGGCGGCCGATTTTTGGACATATTGCAGTTTTTGGAGATCTAATGAACGAAGGTCGCATAAAAGACTGTCAAGTCTGGAGGACATAGTCGAAGGCAACGAAGAGATTGAGGAGAAGCAGGATGGAGAGGGAGCCAGAATCTGTGAGGAAGAGGTTGTTGGTGACTTTGAGCAGTGCTGTAGTGGGAAGATGGTTGAGATGATTATGGAGTTTAGCAGCGACAGACCGTTCAAGAATTTTTGACTAAAAGGTATGGATATCCGGCCTGGATATCCGCGCAGCCCAGCTGTAACTTCCAGATGTAGGCAGACGTCTGCTGTTTGGAATATGGTCGGATCTCACTTTGGATGGAAAGAAGTGGCAGTGTGTCCAGGTGGCAGGCGGTAAAAGTTTCAAAAGATGTAGTAGATAGAAGATACCCTGAGGGAGAAGCAGCAGCCAAAACGCCTCGTCTCTCCTCTTGGACGTCTGCAGCCTTATTTCTCCTCTTAGACCTGGTGGGGGCGTGGCTCATGGACTTGGTGGAGGTCTGGAGCCTCCTCTCTTTTTTGAGTCTTGTGTCGTCCCCTGTGGCTGCAGCCCAGCCTTATATGTTTTTATGGTTAAACCTTTTTATCCTTTGTGTGTCTTTGTGACTGAAACGTGTCAAAACCAGAGAGAGAAAGAGAACAGAGAGGGAGAGACCAGTTAGAGTGACCAGAGAGAGAGAAAGAGAAGGGAACAGAACCGCTGGTCTTCAGACCGCCTGGAGGACCTGAGCTCTGCCCTGTTCACATAAGCACAGAGAGAGAGTGCATGAGAGGAAATACACGCCAAAATGAAATACAAAACAGAAAGGGTAATTGTCTGCTAAAATCCTTTAAAATAAATGTTACTTTGTGCAATATGGGACTGACCTGTTCACACCAAGCAGAGAGAAAGAGTGTATGAGAGAGAAAGGAGAAGGTGCACTGTGATTTTAACATGGTTGTACCGCCTACCACAGCTGCCTAATAATTAAGAACATGGCCATTGGCCCACACCATGCAAAGGAAAAAACAAGCAACAAGAAAACCACTCCCAAACTTAAAGTGGCAGTGTAGCAAAACAAAGTACAGCTGTATCAGACTGTTGAGGTGAAGAGGGAGCAGCGTCTGCAGCTAGAGTTGTATCAGACATTGTGTTGTACTGTCTCATCAGTGGAGTTCCTTCACAGATTGGATGAGAAGCTCAGTCACACAGGATGAGCTTGGAGTAGAGCTGCTGATCCCTTTGATATATGGGTGAGGATCTTAATCACACAGGAGGAGCAGACTAAGGTGGTCTTCTGGGCACGGCCCACCGGGAGGAGACCAGGGGAAGACCCAGGACATGCTGCAGGGTTTGTGTCTCTCAGCTGGTCTGGGAACGCCTCAGGATTCCCCCAGATGAGCTGGACCCCCTAGACTGCCATGCTCATGGTGAGGTTTGGCTGCAGCTCACTACATACATGTAAAAGTAAACTCCTCTAGCTTAGTAATGGCTTGTGTCACACTCACCATCTTTCTGTGATCCTGATGTTTCTTTTGTGAAATTGTAAATCCAAATCTACATATTATAAAGCAGCAGCAGACTGAGAAGAGAGTTACTTACTTACTTACTTAAGGCCTGTGTACACTCGCGCGGCGCTGCTTTCGGTTGCGGTTACGTTGGACCTACGTAACCACAGTTTGTGGTACACTTGCGCGTTCCCCGAATGTTGTAATCCCACAACCAACCACGTGATGGCGAACTCACAGGAGTTGCCCAATCAAAGCGTTCCCATTTGTGCTGCTACTTTCTCCTCTTCAGAACAAAAACAATAGCGAAGCTGTTTGAGATCATTACATGTGTTTCCACTGTAGGTATATGTGATAGTTCTAAACTCATCGTCTCAACTCATTTCACTGTGATGTTGTGAATAAAGACACAGTTCTTGTTGGAAACATAGTTATTATTAAAGTGTATTCAGCACAAATAGCAAAACAATAAGTGGTAAATATCTGAGACAAATATGAACAATTTAAAAGTGCAGGAGGAATGAGACAGACGCGATGAGCTACGAGTGCAGATTCAAACAAAGACAGGAACAGTGCAAAACAATCGACTGCACAGTTTATACGTTATATATTTGTTAGATATCCAACAGAACTGAACAGTCCCTTCCAATACACACACACGGACCAATCACAGCGGAGCTTCCTTGCGGCGACCCTTACGTAGTTCGAAATTTTCGAGAGTGCGCGGCAGGCAACGTAAGGGCCTTGCGGTGATCCTTTTGTTGCGCAATTGACGTCACGTCACCACCGTAAGGTCCGCGCCGCGCGACTATACACTAGGCTTCACTTACTTACTTACTTACTTACTAATGCTGAGGATGTTCAGGGTGTGTTTGAAGAGTGTGGGAGGTGGGGGGTATTATTGATTATGTGGATGGGACACTGGGGAGATGAGCAGAGGGAGAGGGTGGGAGGAGGGGTGAGGTTCTGGAAGTCATCAGCCTGACCACAGCTCACAGGTCCCCTCGGGTCACAGGTCCCCCACCTGTGTATGTGTGTGTGGGAGAGGGCAAACACCACTCCCACACCAATAACTCATACAAACAGTCTGGTATGTGCTCTGCGGAGGAGTGAAAGTGACTCACACACACACACACACACACACACACACACATTGGTCCCTTTTTAGTCTCACTCTGCTCTATTTGGTCTCTCTCTGGGCTCTCTCTGGTCTCTCTCTCTGGTCTCTCTCTGGTGCCCGAAGTTGATATGTTTTTCATACTACCTCCCCTTTCAAGCTGCTTCTTTCCTCTCAGTCTGAGTGTTGTACAGGATTGAGTCAAGGCTGTGGTTCAACTGTACGATCAAATAACACTCATAAATGACATTTCTGGCCTCAGAAAAATAACTTTATTTCCTGTTTCTACAGCTGCTCAGGAGGACAAGAAGCCTGGATGAAGCCAAACTTTAGCCCCACCTACATAGCTTTTCAGCGGGAAGTTTGGTCAGGCACTGCTCGGTTGGGGCAGAATTATGTCCGAACACAATCTTACAGGAGCAACAGTAATGTAAGCAGCAACGAAACAATTCTCCAGACACCAGAGAGCTTTTTTCTCTAGACACTGTAGAAATACGCAGTCGGTACAATAATACATAAATAGATCTATCAGACGCAGCTTAAAGGGAACAAGGCACAACACCTATAGCCTGACTAAGATTCGGGCAGAATACACACTGAGCTATATCGCTAATATGCCTAAGATGGTTTAACATCTTAGGCATTGATGTCCGTTACAGAATACTGAATTCATGACGTATCATGTATTTAATATATTATTCTATTACTTTTGAAAAAATAGTAATGTGTTCTGTATACATGACTTTTAATGACTTTCCTCACAAATTACAAATATACCCTCTAGAAATATAATCTTGCTAGTTTACACGCAAGTGTCGGGGAGTGCAAAAAGGGTGAAGGGTTTTTACCGTTTGCTTAATGTGTTTTTAGACTTTTTATGCATGTTGTGTGTTTTTAATGTTTTAATGACTTGCACCACCTGAAGCACCTCGGCTCCCCACGCGACTGGACAGTTAAGACACCTGCGTCTTGAGCATAAAAGTGGAGACACAGGGCCAGGCCGTGTTCAAGGGAGGGTTCTTTTTAAGCCTATTTTAGCCTCTGTTTTGGCTTTTAGCCTGTGTTTTTATTGCTTTTGTATGTATTCTATAATAAATCGTTTCCAGTGGGCTCTTTTAAATCCTGGTCCAACGGATGCGTGGTTTTGGACTGGCTTGTGTGTGGTGCAGGTGCGCCCGGCAGCAGAGGCAGCAGCGGCGGGTGCAGGAGTCAGCAAAATGCAACAAATGCAAAAGGAAGATACCTAGAATAATGTGGAAGAGAAGTAGGGTCAAAATTAGCGTTTTACAAACAGGGTGATGAGCGAATATGAAACAGGTGTGAATGCCACGGCGCCTGTCACTCGCATTCAATGCCCCCTGTAATACACAAGCCGTGCCCCTCTTATGCACAAGCCACACCCTCCGACCACATCCAAGCCCTGAAAAGCAGAATGGGAGAGGGAAGCAGAGCCAAAATCACAAACCCAACCATGCCTACTCTAAATGCTCAGATCTCAAACTCATGACCAGGGATCAGGAAACTTCCAGGAACATTAGATCGTCTACCATTCTGCTGCGGACATGCCTCCTCTCCTCTCTCCTCTCCTCTCTCCTTTCCTCTCCTCTCTCTTCTCCTCTCTCATCTCTTATCTCCGCTCCTCCCTCTTCTTCCCACTGTGTCTGCAGCAGTGTGGGTGAGTTCTCCATGTAACCCAGTGAACATGTACATTTAGCTCTGCTGTTGTTGAGGGCCCTGAGAGCTTGGCAGTGGTTCAGTGGTGAGGGGGAGAGCGCCTGGCCCTCTCCCACAGTCTCCCTCAACAGTAACCTCGTACCCACAGCTGTTTCTGACTAATGTCTCAAAAACGCATCAGGATCTGCTCTTGGCTGGAGCTGCAGTGACAGAAAATAACTCTGTTTGTTTAAAAGATGTTTGATACGGTCGGCCTCCTGAAGCTGTAACAATAGTCCAGCGTTTGGAAAGATTCCGAAAAAACCTGCAGCATGTTCAACTTTTGTACACGATCAGGGGAGAGAGGGGAGAGATATCGTTGAACAAGAAGACACAATCCTGAACCAGAAGCTTTGGACGTAGAATAACTTGATCTCTTCTCTCTCCTCTCCACACTCCTCTCCTCACATGTCTCCTCCCCTCTCCTCTCTTCTCTCCTCTCCTATCTCCTCCCCTCCCTCGAACTGGTTCCTATTTACTAGCTCTCAAATCTCTATCTAGGTCAGAAACAGAAAAGTGAAACAGAGGATCACTCTCACTCAGCCACTAGGTTGACCTTTTGTTGGAGAGAATCAGTTCATAATTTTAGGCCTTATTTGTTTGACCAATGACTGTTTTCATTGTTTTGGTTTTCTTATTTGCTTTTGGTAAATCAATAATTCTATGAAGCATGTTGAGACAATCATTGTGTATTTTTTGTATTTTACTAGGATCCAATATGATCAGCCAAAACGCTCATTTCTGTCTGCAGCCACAAGGGACTCCTGCTTTCTTCTACTTTAGGGGCAGTAGAAGAAAGCAGGAGTCTGTGAGGTCCACCACAAGTGGTTTCAGGGCATCAGGAGCATCAACAAGATCTCAACCAATCTCCCGAGGCCGCAACAAGAGATTGACATTCTGAAGAGATTGACCTTCTGATGAGATGGACCTTCTGCTGGCTTGTGTACTGCAGATGTTTGGCATTTTTCTTGACGTATTTCCATTGGCAGATCTGTCTGTTCTGGGTTCTTATTTGACTTATTCGAGGAGGAGACAGATACTGAAAAGACCTCCTTCACCTCAGTTTCCCGTCTGATGTTTCTGGCATTCTTTGCCTCTGCTCCTCTGTCCTCCTAGATCCTACAGGCCGACCACCTCTGGCTGTTTCAGGTTAATTCTCTCACTCTCCTCTCCTCCCCTCTCTCTCCTCCTCCTCTCCTCTCTCTTCTGACCCTGACCTCTCCCTCTCCTCTCCTCTCTCCTGGCCTCTCCCTCTCCTCTCCTCTCCACTCCTCTCCCCTCCTTCCTCCTCTCCTCTCCACGTTCCTCCTCTCCTCTCCCTCTCCCTCTCCAGCTCTCACACCAGATGAATGTAATGATGATGTATATTGATTGCTTTAGTCTAGCGCGGTGTTCATAATGTGACAAAGAGCAGTCATTTGGACTCCTCTTCACTTAGGACCGAGTGCAGGCATATCGCTGCAGCATCAGCAGCCGCTTCCTGGAATCCATCTCCTCCTGACGCTGGGGACCGCTCTGCAGGGCCCCCATCACCAGCGGCGCATCAAATGACACACACCCAGAGCAAAGTGATGTGAGCAGGAAACGATGTGACAGAGAGGCCATAATGTGAGGGAGTGTATGTGAGGTCAGTGTGCTGCTGCCAGAGTAATGGTAATGGACCAGAGTGGACTCCATCCACGCTAATATCAGGAACTTCTGGCACAAACATGTAGCTCCGCCCCTTCTGTCGAAAAGCTCATGTCTCAGTAACAGTATGATGTTATTGTACCACTATGACATCACTATGACATCACAGTCAGTCACAGAAAATCTCTGCGTTCTCTGATCTCTCTCTAGTATTTCAAGTATCTCTCTGGTTTCTCAATCAATCAAGTTTATTTATAAAGCACAATTCATGTAGTGCAAACCAAAGTGCTTTATACAGACACGAAATCATACACATGTGAAAAAAAACCCCAGTAATAATGAAGAAAGAAACATTCCAGACTGAATGTCAGAAATAAAACTGTATACAAACTCAATATATAAAACTTAACTTAGACTTCAACAATGTTAAAGATGATAACAGTATATCATTAGGAAGTCGGTTCCAGATTTTTGAGGCATAAACCTGAAATGGTGCCTCCCCATGTTTAGTCCTGACTCTGGGCACCATCAGAAGGCCAGTCCCTTTCTGGTTTGGACACCATATTTTTAATTTTGACAATATTGTTTAGGTCCATTGTCTCTCTCTGTTTTTTTTTTTACCTCTCTCTAGTCGCTGTGGTCTCTTTCTGATCTTACCTTAGGAACCACACTGTCCCCCCCACAGAGAATGAGGCTCTTGTGTTAGCTCTGTAGAACCACACACTCTGGGGTTTGCTCTACAGTCAGACCAGAGTAATTAGTAATTATTGTTGTGGTTTGTGGCTCTTAATGTGATAACTTGATCTGGGACCCAAATCTGCTGAAAATGTGGCAATGGGTCTCGGCTTTGTTGATCCATCGCCATGACGTTTGCGGCACCCTGTTGCAATACTCACTTTAACCATGGCAGACAAGAGCAGACGCCGGTCCTGTTTTGGCCTGTCGCGTTTTAGCATAATCCTGACAAGTCAAAGCAGCTGGTGCCTGGCAAACCTGTCACACCTCTGGATCAAACCAATGGGAGAGAATGTCACGGTGCAGACGCTTCGAGGCGGGAGGGACGGAGGAGGAGGCGCGGGGGAGGTTTGGGAGACTGTACCTGATAATGTGTCCTACAATTCCCGATTATTCAGCCCTACTTGGACCGACTCTACTCTATACCAGGTACCATGTCCTAGAAACCTGCCCAAAACAAACCAGCATCTAGGAAGATTGGCCAGAATGCTTGGGAAACCAAGCATTCTTACTTTGGTCTGTCTCTCTTCTTCTCTCTCTCTGGTCTCTCTCTCTGGTCTGTCTCTCTTGACTCTCTCCCTGGTCTTTCTTTGGTCTCTCTGTGGTTTCTCTGTGGTTTCTCTGTGGACCCTCTCTGGTCCCTCTCTGGTCCCTCTCTGGTCTCTCTTTCTGGTGTCTCGCTGGTCACAGTGTGACTGTGAGGCTGTGACTGTGGCCCCTGATGAGCCATTCACAATCAGGCCTTTACACAGGAACCACATTACACTCTGCAGGTGAGGGGATCTGGATGAACCAGGTCTACGGCTACAACTTAAACCATCCATCCATCCATTTTCTTCCATTTAATCCATTTCTGGGTCAAGGGATGGCAGTCATAGCTGCACCCAGTACACATAGCACCAGCCCCTCACTGATCCTCCTGCAGGTGGTGAGTCCACAGGAGCTGAGATCTTTCAGTGGGGGAGTCCTGATGTAGGTCTTACGATGGGCTCGAACCCCCGACCTTCAAGCCCAAAGGCCAATGCTCTACCAACTGAGCCACTGTCGCAGCTACAACTTAAACTTGAACTTTGTATTTTATATTCCGGTGAGATTATACAAGATCTTTTTCCCAATTGTCTTTTTGCTCACTGCCTACACTGCTCCTTGCCTGTGAAAGTGAGAGTTTTCCTGTTGAACCTATTCCGCTTTTATCACCAACAGCAGATCTGAGACGACTGCCACAGAACCATGTTTTGACCATTTTTGTAAGAATATACTAACCTGAGTTCTTGAGTTCTAGTCTCGTCAAACACTTTCTACCTATACTTGAGTACTGTCCAGAAATGTTCCCAGATCCAGGACTGAGGCTGATTGAGATTGAAGAGCTCCCCTATTATAAGTGTGGGTAGGAATTTCCTATCATAATGTACTCCTCGAAGGGATCTCTCCTTGGGCTCTCTTGGTCTGTGTAGGGTCTAGGTCAACATCATGTAGACCTGCCAGGTCTTCCCTCTCCCTTTCCAAACCATCTCCTTCCTTGGTATGAATATTTTCTTGTTTATGTCTGTACTTTGTAACTGTTAAGTGTCTGTATCTGTATAGCAACAATTATTACAAGATTATTTATTATATTTTCATGATAATATTATTAGACCCTGATTTTGCATGTGGCTCTTTTATGCGGACATGTTTATTGTATCTTCACTAAATGTATTCTAAATGACAAATGTATAAGAGACTGTGTGTATCTGCATGTATAGCACACATTGTGGTTGTCTGCTCCTCCTCCACGTGCACACACACCTCTGTCTCACACACAGCGACAGCCATGCTGTTGCTAAATCTTGGTTTTGTTTGAACTTGTGGGCGTTTTGTCTGGGAGGGGATTTTTCCGTCTCTGTCACCGGCTGCTCTGCGTAAAACATTTCTTTTGGCTGTTCTGCTTCGAGAGGTCGTTAAGAGAAGATGTGAAGTCATCCTCTATCTGTTGCTGACACAAGCGGAAACAACACTGATCCAGGATGTTCAACACACTTTAACATATACATTGATCAAAAATACATTTCTTGCATGCATTTAATGTTGTCATAGCACAATACCAAATAACTACTACTGTTTAAAGCATATACAGGATACATGAGAAAGAGTCTTGTAAAATTAACATATTAAGAATGTTTTTCCGGAAATGATGAATTATGGAAAAATGCTATTTTTGGGCCAAAACTTGCTGTTCTGCACTGAGAGAGCGCTCTATCTCTGGTCTGCCTCTGGTCTCTCTTCAGTCTCTCTCCAGTCTCTCTGGTCGCTCTCTCTCTCTGGTCTTCCTGGTCTCCCTCTCTGGTCTTTCTTTGGTCTCTCTCTGGTCCCTCTCTTGTCTCTCTCTGGGCTCTCTCTCTGGTCTCTGTTCTGTGCATTACGACACTGAACTCTCACTAAAGTCCCTCTCATCTCGTCCATGTATCTGAGTACATTTTGCTGCTGCTTATACGTGGCTCTCCCCTCTCTCCCCTTGGGGCTGGGTGTCTCTGTGTGTCCTTTGGGTGCCTCCTGTGCCCCGCCCACTTCAGACCGGCCTTGACTTGTGCAGCGTGGTGACAAGTCTCCACTACACCCCAGAATGAGCGGGTGAGTGGAGTGGGTGTGAGGTTGGGGCTCTGCTTGAGGGACCGCCGGCATATGCTGGAGCCTGCATTTTTCACCCCTGACTTAAAGCATGTGCCGCACAATCGAGACAGTGTTGTAACGGAGAGAGGAGGGAGGAGGGAGGGGGAGGGGGGAGGGAGAGAGATAGTCCACATCTGGACGGCCTTCCAGGTGATTCAGTCCCAGGAGGGGCCGGCGGGACACACTGCAAAAAAAGAGGCATTTGAAATGACTCACTGGGGCTGGCCTCGACCTGAGCTCCCTCTGCTGAGCTTAAGGCACAGAACACATGTTGTGTGCAGATCCTGTAATAAACTGTGTAAAAGGCCATGACAATAAGAATTCATTATGAACTATTCACAACTAAAGCTAGGGTACCTCATCTTCAGACCACAAAAGAATGACAAGTTCCTTCCATTTAGTTTGGTTCTGTCACTAGTTTTCACAAACATGTGTTTGGCCTATGTCACAGACATCTTTATATCAGCATTTTCAGACACAAAAGTAAAAAAAAAGAGAATCAGAGACAACCAGAGAGGGACCAGATATAGACCAGAGAGACCAGAGAGAAAGAGACCAGAGAGACAGACCATGGAGAAATCCGAGAGAGACCACATCCTAGTACCTTGCTCTCAAAAGTGTTTCTTCTATCAATAGTTCACACCCGTCACATTTGTATATCAACTTCTTCAAACAGAAATCTGAAGTGAGGACAACCCTCACTCAGGCCTCAACCTAAAGCCTCAAATAGTGACTCGAAGGTTCTTCTTCTAAACACAAGCCCAATCACATACTGTACAACTGTCTCTGATAATGGCACAACAATGGGATCCCTGAACCCGGCCCCTCCATCTGCACAAATTGGATGTTCGAGTTTTTCCTTAGCGATGCAGGAGGGTCTGTTAGACTGTCAGTGGGTCTAACAAAAAAGACTGTGGTGATGATCCAGGGCACATAACATTCAGAAACTATGGACATGTATCAACACTTATTGACATTGGTCAATTCTCCCCTATGGACTAATACCCACATGTTCTCTATTCTTTGTGTTTGAACTGTTTGATTCTCTAGTCTGCGCTCTGAGATAACTACTGTTGTGATACACTGAGTTGAATTGAATTGAATGGACACATAGATAATCCACTCTCCCTTCTCAGTCCCACACGATTGTGGGAATGTGTTTTTTTTGGGCCTTGGACTTGATGTTGAGAGTATGTACTTTACCATTCCCTGTTCAATAATGTGAAACATTTTGTTTAAGTGGTGAAATTATGGATGTACATGAAAAATAAGTTTCTAAAATCACAGTTATAGGTTCTAGAATTCTATTCTAGTTATAGAGCAGGTGCCAATACAACTACAGCAGGTGTGGGGAAGTAGCAGTTTTTGAAAGGATTGTCCAAATTGTAATGAGATTTCACAAAAGCCATATTTTTCTTAAGTACAAAAGTAGGTTATACTGAACACTATTTTGTCTCTCCCTCTCTCTGGTCTCTTTCTGGTATCTCTCTGGTCAGCTTTTTCAAACTGAAAATTGAAAAAGAGAGTACCACCCGTACTCAGCTGACAACAGGTTACTTAAAGAAGACACATTCTGTTTGGGAAAAAAACAGATTTAACAAAAATATAAACAACACAAACAGGAATCAGACCATTTTGGATACATAGCCACACACATCACCACAACACAGCGCCGACATAGCAGCAGATAACAGTTGCAAGCAATAAAGAAAACAACAAACAATATTAGTTGGAAAACAGTGGGCATGTGTGTATGAGCAGAAACAGCTGTGTGTGAGTGACTGACCACAGATACAGACTGAATCTCTTCATCCTTATTTGAACAGACTTGAATCAAAAACACAAACTGGTGCCAATAAAAGTCGATGTGTGTATGACGTGTGTGAGCTTTGGCTTCGTTCAGAAATCAAATGACTTTAATTACAACAGCAAAACTTGTCCTGACATTTCCTCCTGAATCAGAGAGGCCCTTACACAAAATCCAATCTGCAACATGAAATCCAGAAACTTTTCAAGCAAGCCAGTGTGACAGTTTAGATCCAAACCATAAGAATGTATATGTGACATTACAAAAGTGTGAAATCACCATCATATGAATTCACCATAGTTTTAGCTAGCTGGAGCCAATTTCCTTATACGGGCATTTATTTTTTCTTCTGCGGTTAGCTGCACGCCGTAACGGGGCAGACATGTTGCTAAGATGGTTGCCAAGGGCTTACAGAGAGCACTAAACCATGCAATAATAACAAACACCGAAGAGCTATTTGTCTATTGGGAGCGGGATGACGACTGTCCAGAAATGTTAACAAATGTACAGAAATGTCCTGGATAATCACTGTTCTTAGATCCTCCTTCATCAGCAAGGAACCAGTGGGAAAAAAGAGAGAAACCTCAGGGAGGCCCATACCGTGAGAGGGGTCAACAGCACTACAGCAGTCACAGGCTGTAGATCTAGAACTGAGGGTGTAGATCCAAGACACTTTTGGAATATTTATGCAAAAGTACCCACTGTGCAGCGGAGAAGTGTAAAAATACGACACAAATACAAAAAATGAGAAACAAAATGATGAGACTTAACAGACTGTACATAATTCATATAGATTTTCTAAGGGACAGGGACCAGAGACACACAACCCTCTGACAAACATGAGAAGCTCTTGTTGCATACTGAACTACATTCCTGCCTCACACTGATCCCCTTGCTGCCCGAGCCGGGGGTCCCCTTCACCCGTCTCCATCTGGGAGGGATGGCCCTAATCACAGCAAGATGTGTGTTCTTAATGAACGCAGAGGAGCAGCAGCAGGTTTTCAGCCCAAGCTACAGCTGTTTATGTCAGCTCTGATCCGCACAGACGCTGAAAGGAATTATGCAAATTTAAAAAAAATGTGTACCATTTATGTGACATGTCCATATTGTATTTGCTCAACCCCAGACACAAGGTAAACATGCACCAATCAAACAGCTGTGTCCCTGCCAGAGATATATTTAGGTCATAATATAATAATAATATAAATGAGGGCACATACAAGGTTTTCACTTATCCTTAGCCTGTGTCCTGGATCTACAGCCTCAATCTTGGATCTACAGCCTCTGTCCTGGATCTACAGCCACAGTCCTGGATCTACAGCGTCAGTCTTGGATCTACAGCCTCAGTCCTGGATCTACAGCCTCAGTCCCGGATCTACAGTTTGTGGGAGCAGATCCCTCTCTCAATATGGGCCTCCCAGAGGTTTCCTCCTTTTTACCACCGGTCGCTGTGTAGTTCCTTGCAGATGCAGGACAGGACAGATCATCCCACTCCTGAACCAATGGCTCTTATGTGTTTGTTATTATTGCATTTCTTCAAAATGATATTTGCAAAGTCCATTTAATCAATTTCTGAAATTCTGTTAAACACATGTTTCTCCTTGTACTGCTGCAGGTACTGGCTGCAGGTGGCTGTACTGTGCGTTGATACCAAATGCTGGTCGTTACTGTTCCCTGAGTCCATCCATCCTCTCCATCTGGTGTGTGATAATGTTAAAGAGGTTTGAGTGTTGTTACAGATGTGTGTGTTGTGTTAGACAGTGTTACAGATGTGTGTGTGGTGTTAGACAGTGTGACAGATGTGTGTGTTGTGTTAGGCAGTGATACAGATGTGTGTGTGGTGTTAGACAGTGTTACAGATGTGTGTGTGGTGTTAGACAGTGTTACAGATGTGTGTGTGGTGTTAGACAGTGTTACAGATGTGTGTGTTGTGTTAGGCAGTGTTACAGATGTGTGTGTTGTGTTAGGCAGTGATACAGATGTGTGTGTGGTGTTAGACAGTGTTACAGATGTGTGTGTGGTGTTAGACAGTGTTACAGATGTGTGTGTGGTGTTAGACAGTGTTACAGATGTGTGTGTTGTGTTAGGCAGTGATACAGATGTGTGTGTGGTGTTAGGCAGTGATACAGATGTGTGTGTGGTGTTAGACAGTGTTACAGATGTGTGTGTGGTGTTAGACAGTGTTACAGATGTGTGTGTGGTGTTAGACAGTGTTACAGATGTGTGTGTTGTGTTAGGCAGTGATACAGATGTGTGTGTGGTGTTAGACAGTGTTACAGATGTGTGTGTGGTGTTAGACAGTGTTACAGATGTGTGTGTTGTGTTAGGCAGTGATACAGATGTGTGTGTGGTGTTAGGCAGTGTTACAGATGTGTGTGTTGTGTTAGGCAGTGATACAGATGTGTGTGTGGTGTTGGACAGTGTTACTGTACAGATGTGTGTGTGGTGGAGTGTTACAGATGTGTGTGTGGTGTTAAACAGTGTTACAGATGTGTGTGCTGAGGCTCACAGCTCTGGGCACATTTACACAGGAATGCTGTCGGAGGATCAGGTTTCACTAGGAGCAGGACAGCGGGCGAGCAAGTGCCGCGAACGCATGGGGAGAGGGTAAGGGGGGTGTGGAGGGGGTTACCATCCACAAATCTAAAGCAATCAGGCTGAGAGTGAGAGTGAGAGAGAGAAAGGGAGAGTGAGAGGGGCAAAGTGTGTCTTGGCCAAAGATGGAAAGTAGCATGGTGCTAAATCCGGTGCAGTCATCTTTTTAATGTAACTGCACATTGTCCTCAAAGTAAACTTGAAACTTGAAGATCCTCAATCAAGAATCTGACCCAGAGCATCATGAATTTCTCCTTTGGGGATCAATAAAGAATCAATCAATCAATCTATCTATCTATCAAAAGTAATCTCCTTGAGCTCAGTAACCGTTTGTGTCACACTCACCATTTTGGGCTTAAATCTGTGGTTTTGTGCTCTCTGGGATCCTGGTGTTTATACTGCAATATGGAACCCTAACAACTGTCCATTTCAAACCATCTATAACATGGTGAAAAGCTGCGAAAGGTCCATATTGTGTCTTCTCCCTGCTTTAATGATTTACTGTGGCTTCTGCTCTTCCTCTGCTGCATGTGGTCCATCACCAACACAGACACTTTCATCAGAAAATCCAGCGCCGGCCATGTTGGGACCCGAGGGGCGGGTCTTCACC